TTGCTCCACTGGCTTGAACCCATTTCACTGCATTCGTGAAGCACAAGGGCGGCAGGCCCCTGCTGGAGTTGATAATAACACGAATTCTTGTCATAGTACTAATGCAATAAAGAGCAGTACTACCGTCCTCTACAGTAAGTTGATACTCTACTAATACTAGCAAGCCGAGAAGCGGGACTATTAAATAGTAATATTACTAATCCACTGTAAAAGGTTTACTTGAAACATATAATTGTGCTCATGATTATAATACCCCCCCCCCCAAAAAAAAAAAAAAAAAAACAATTCTGAGCAATCCGAATGGGATCTGAACATCAAATTCTAAACTCCTAAAATTGTCATTTTTAATAATGAGGTTGCTGTAACACAATATGACATAGGCCAAGAACTCAGCAGTCTTTTCGATGAAGAAAAGAATATCATTACTGGTCATCAACATGGGTGGCATTTGCCCCCTTTGGAGGGCATATCCTAGACTACCACTTGTGTAACCCACGAAAGGGGGCAATATGAGTCATATTATCTCTCAGTGTATTCTGTGTGTGGATGAGGCGGAATCGCGCTTGTTTACTTTGCTGATGTAGAGCACAGGCGCACGAAGAAAAACTTGGACAATGTAGACTTGAGATGAAGAAGTTTAAAAGGGAAGTAAGATTTTGATCAGTGGAGCAGCAAGCTAGACTCTTACTACTGCCTTCTTATTTGTAAACGGCAGTCAAAAACACTATTAAATAATACCGCTACCAGTCATTTGTTTTAGAGTCATGAGTACTGTATCCCTTCACAAACTAATGTACGGTACCGAGGTCAGCTCTGTGACGAGCTTTAACCTCAACAGCCTTCTTGGCTCGTCATCAGGTAACATTATTGGTGCAAAATGCGATCGGCTTCCGATTGGCTCGGGGAAAACCCCTTTAAGTATTTAGTCAGTTTACCAATTGGCTACATGGAAACCGTTGTTTTCGGTTTTGAAGTTTCTGGAGGCCCGACGAGTGACCTGACACCGGAATCGGAGTCTCCTCGTCAGGGTCATTTTTTATAGCCAAACCACCATCAGCCAGTGCGGGACAAAATAGTACAAATACAATGTGAAATGCAGCCAGCATACGTACAGTCTGCGTGCCACACAGATCTTGAGTGTGCTGGCTGCTCTCTGCACTGCGCCAGAGGATCTGCACCAGAGGCTCAGTGGGACGTGGACCATCCATGCGTTCCCGACATTAGCCAATTAGCTGACTGTCCCTGGTAGCGAGGAGCAGTCAGCTCATTCGCCAATTTGCTCGCTAGACAGCAAGGCATTGGGCGCGGGCGCGACGCGCCTCGGTTGTGATTCCTGGCACGGCGCACAGTGAAGGCCCAGCTACCGACGTGCACGCTACCGCTACGCTCTACCTCGGCATCCAGACTACCTCTACGTTCTACTCAGACATGCAGAGCTCTAATATGATCCGGTGGCGGCAAACTGGCTTGTGCGGAGCATGTTGAATCGTGAAACCCTGTGCTGCTCTTGCGGATGCCGTAGTGTGTAGCTAGCGTTGATAATTTAAAGAGTTCTACATGAGAGGAAGAAAAAAAAATTGATTATGTAAGGAAAAATATATGTATCATGAGCCTGCTGATACTTGTTTAATCTGCTGCTGCTTCCGCTCCAACGTAGGCACACTCTACTCGGTGCCACTGGCGCCTACGGTATATACGTATTTTGTTTGAAGGGAGATTAGCTGCCGGCTCCCATGTCTGCTCCCAAGAGGTAAGAACTGGACACGACCGTTAATTCGGCGATCAGCGAGGAT